TTATTTTTTAGCAGGAGTGGCTTCTACTTCCTAAACAACATGCCTCTGCAAACTCTATGAACTTTGATAAATGTTGATAGCTATAGAAAGACTTCAGGCCTTTTGTTCATAGGGTCACTATGAGTTGTGCTTGACTCAACAGCAGTCAACACAGCAACTCTCTCTGTCTCTATCATCTATCTATCTATCTATCTCAAATATATCTCAACTCTTTCTCTCTCTATATATATATCAACTCTCTCTCTCGCTATATATATATATATATATAGCGAGAGAGAGAGAGAGCAAAAATGAGAGAGTGCACACTAGTGGCCTAGTGGCAAGAAGCTGCACAGCAATCCCAAAGGCATGTGCTTCGAATCCATCAGCTGCTCCACGGGAGAAGGATGGCCAATCTTCTTCCATGTACTATGCGTTAGTTCTGATGCAACTGTATAACAACAACCATGACCACAAATTATATATGTATGTATGTAAGTAAGTCAGTAAGTCAGTCCCTAGAGCACCAGAGCTTTCTAGAGAGATAGAATAAAGGATTAACCATAAAGGATACAAAAAAGAAAGTGATATGGAAAAGAGAGAAGAAGTACCCATACCCATGGGAGTGTAAGGCAAGACTGGATGAGTAGGAATCCAATTCCCATTTTGTTCCAGAATAATTGTAAGACTTGTCCCTTCACAGGACTCAGCTCATCCGAAACGTGGGAAGTGGAAATCAATGTGCTCCAATGAACCTGTAGCTCTTGATAGTTTAGGAAAGATTGAAGGACTTTTCCTTGTTTTGTAGGAGTGCGCTAGTGGGATTCTGCGTGGTTGAGAATACAGTTAGCTTTAAAATGCTGCTGGTCAGCATACACAGACCAGCCCTTTTCAGCAGGAGGGTTCTTTGTGGGACAGTCAGAGCTATTTCTCCTACTTGCCTTGTCACCCTGTCCTGGTTATCAGCTATTGCTAGAAAAATCTCTCTTCACAGAAAGTACTTGGCTGTGGTAGGACGTCTTGTGTCCTTCATGTTGCAGTGTGTGTGTAAGGCTAAAAAAGCATTTACCATTGGGATTTTTACTAAAAAACCCTTCTCAGTAGACTTGACCCTAAGAATGTTTCAGAATGAATGCTTACTTTTCTCTTAGAAAAGTGTGAAGAAAGGGGTTACACAGTAGAGAAAAGACAAGACACTCAGAATGCGGCTAAGTTGGTTAGGTTGATGTAAATATTTCCCAAGCTTGGAGGGCCTTAAGGAAAACTGATATCCACAGTCACTCACCCAAGCTTCTTCATCATTTTCTATTATTTAGGAAAAATGAAATCATACTTAGGTGTAATAGTCAAGGTTATGCTGACTATAAACAAGCTAGATTTAACTAACCCAGAGTTTCTTTGAAGGATGAAGTTTTGTGAGTTCAAGGCCATGATGAAAGCCTGGGAAAGCTAACATTGACCAGCACGTGAGCTATTCCTTTGTTTCTTTAGAACCCATCCACTGAATGTGTACTGGATGACTGTTGAGTGGCAGATACTGTGTTTCCAACCTTTTTTGGCATCCTCCAGGACAATGTGGATATTTTTCTCATATTATTTATCAATAGGAAGTCAGGAAAAATTTGCTTATTGTGCAGAATGAATCTTTAGTTACTGAGGAAATAGTCTCCCTGGGCCAGACCAATTTGATCAAATGCATCTTTTTTTCTTTCTGTAATTTATCAAAAGTTAACAGAGAATCAACTCTGCAGAGCTGTCATGCTAGAAATGTTGGAGATGGGAGATAGAACACATTTTCTTTTTTTTTGTATGGAGAGCATCTAAAAAGAAATAAATAATATACACATATACAAAACTAAGGGTTCAGTTTTATGAACAGAAAAACTTTCATGGTCCAAAGTCCAGGACTTTTCCTCCTAATGCTGTGGTCTTATATAAGAACTTTAAGTTCCCTGTGCTAGTTTCCTCAATTATAAAACAGAGGT